TAACTTTTAAATGCTACTCTGTGAGCATACCTTTAAAAAATGAGTTTCCCATAATACAGACATAATACAAAGACAGAATTACCCAGTAAGAAATGCCAGGAGACATCTCTGAGCAGTTATGGAGATGAAGACGTCTGGAAAGTTTATTGCCTTTAATTTGATGGCATTTCCTCCCCTGCCCCTTCCCTCATCTGTAGGCGTTAGATCTTTAAGGGAGCTTGACATTTAGCTTGGAAATGAATACACTTTTTTGGGTTCTTCTTAACAACCCGGGTAAGTTTTCATAGGTAATTTAGCAAATGTCAAACTTTTCTAATAATGTAGGTTTGATTTATACAGCCAAGCTTGTTAATCTCACTACCTAAAAGTCTCAGCCTTGGGCAGCTTTCAAACCAGGTTTCAGCACTGGCCTCAGATGCCCACAGCCTCCTAAAGAGACATGTCTTCCTCCCTTCTAGCAGTTCAGCTTCTGCCTCTTTCTTGCCTACTGTGATTTTTAACTCCATTGGTCAGGATGCCAGTAGTTACAACTGCTGCTTTTTCTTCCTGATTCCTCCTTAACACAAAAGAACAGATTTAAAAAAAAATCCCTTCTCTTGATAATCACGCAATTTCCTGTCTTTCAATGATGAGAGCAGGTGGGCAATTTTGGCTTGTGACCAATCAGTCAAGACTCATTTGTTGACTGGCATTGCATGCAGCATCCTCTCTACACACAATTCTTATTTGCTTACCGAGCATCCTTTTCTATTTTTTCCGGTAATCTTTCTTTGTTAGTGTTTCATGTAACTTGGTTCATGCCAGTGTCCTCCCCAGGTGAAGGCGATTCTGCTCTCCCTTCCTCATCAAGTGAGCCAGCCTGGCCAATTGGAACCTAGCCTCCCCTGCCCCTGTGATTGGTGGAAGATTGTCACGTGGTCTGATGAGAACCAATCAGAGCTGAGAATGACCATGAATAACACCCTCTTTCCCACCCGGGTTGCTGAGGGAAGAAACGGCAAGCTTGGAACTGCGCGTGTCCATCCGTGGGCTGAGAATGGAGCTCCCTCCGGGAAAGTTGGAGTCAGGAGATGGAGAGAGGCGCACTTTGAACCCTTGGATTGCCGCGTCTCAGGGCAGAATCCACGCTTAGCCAGTTCTTCACTTTCTTTAAACCATTTTGAGTTGATTTATTTGTTGATTACTACTGAATGAGACAACTTCCCTGGTGCCTCAGACGGTAAAGCGTCTGCCTGCAATGCGGAGACCTGGGTTCGATCCCTGGGTTGGGAAGATTCCTGGAGAAGGAAATGGCAGCCCACTCCAGTATTGTTGCCTGGGAAAGTCCATGGACGAAGGATCCTGGTGGGCTACAGTCCATGGGGTCGCAAAGAGTCAGACACGAAGGAGCAACTTCACTTCAATTCTCTTCACTGAATCAGACGTGAAACATGTCTCTCTCTTGCAAGAGCTCCTGGCACAATAGTGCCAGGCTATGTTTGACAGGAGACCTCCCTGTGAGTGAGGAGGGTCTGTGAAAGCTTCACACTGAGGAGGATTCAGCCTTTCAGTCAGATCTTGAAGGGTGGTGAGGATTTGGAGTGCCAGAAAGGGCCCTGGTGTGAGTATATTTTCCTTCTTCAGCTCCACATCCCTAGACTCTGTTGAATGTCATCCCTCTCCATAGATACTGTAAACAAATGTGTTTTATTTATTTATCCTTGGTTGTGCTGATCTTTGTTGCCACATGTAGGCTTTTCTCTAGTTGTGGAGAGCAGCAGTTACTCTCTGTTGCATTTCACCTGCTTCTCATTGCTGTGGCTTCTCTTGTCCTGGAGCATGGGCTCTCGGGCACACGGGCTTCAGTGGCTGAGGCGCTCCGGCTTATTTGCTCCATGGCGTGTAGGGCTTCCTAGACCCGGGACCAAGCCCATGTCCCCTGCATTGGCTGGACCACTGGACCACAGGGAAGTCCCCACTCATCCGTTAATGCTCCTTTTCCTGAGGATTCTGTGCTTGGATGACTTCTCATCATGCTTGGTAGCTCACGGTTCAACCAACGCTCAGAATTTTTGATTACCATCTGTACACATATGATTCCTGAATGCATTTCTCCTACCAAGATGTGACTTTTGAATTCTAGCCCACATTTACAACTGGCAACAATTTTCACCTTTTAAGTCCTAGAGGATGCTCATACTTAACATTACGGAACTTAAACTCATCACCTTCCTCACTCCCACTTCCTTTTTTCCAGGTTTTAATCCTAATTTTGACTAATGTGACACATCATGACAATAAACCCTGACTTCAACCCAGACTCCCCCCTCTCTAAACTTAAAATAATCAAAAATTTCTTCTACTCACTCAATATCTTAGAATGTTATACCCCTGCCTTTAGTCAAGTATCTGTACAGATTTTTGCAAGAGTTCTAGATGGGTTACCTTATAACATTTGCCTTTAATTGTCAGAAAGATTTGTTTTTCTGAATCTCTTTTTATCATGTACTCAAGTCATGTCCGACTCTTTGCGATCCCAGGTACTGTAGCCTGCTATGCTCCTCTGCCCATGGGGACTTTTCAGGAAACAATACTGGAGTGGGTTGCCCACAGTTGTTATCTCACTGGCGCTTACCTTCTCAAAGCTGCAAGACCACCAGATTCCAGATCTTCAGCTACGTGACCATCCTTTCAGAGAGTTTTTCATTGGTGGGGAATAAGAAGGACTCCGTCAGAAAGGGAAGATGCTGGTTCTCCTTAAGGGCCAGTCACCCTCTCTTTTCCCCTCTAATAAACTTCCTTTTCTTGCCTGACTGCCCGGCTTGCCCTCTTTTTCTCTTCGCCGTACAGTCACCACCTTTGTAAAGATGCCTCTGTCCTTTCTCTGTAATTAGAGAACCAGCTTCTATATTCTTGGTGAATGTTGTCCACCCCCTCTTCTAGAGCTCACTGTGTCCCTGTGATAGTCTCCCCCGACCACGTTCTGTTTATCTTGGCATCCTTGGGAGATACGTAATGTCTGGCATGTAGCAGGTGCCCATGAAGAGTTTTTGAATAAATGATCACATGAGGTGAAGGATGGACTGAGCAAGAGTAACAAACGCAGAGAGTCAAATACACACAGCTTGCTTGTGAGATCTTGTTGGGAAGATGGTGGAGAATACATTGTATACATAGATTGAAGAGTTTATTTTTGTAGTAAAAAATAAAGCTTTATTTTTGTAGTAAAATTTCTCTAAATATACAACATTGTGAATTTTGATAGGACAAAATGTCAACTATTTAAACAAGTGCGTGAATAGGTTTCCATTAAAAATGGTGTTGTAGAAATGTGTTTGTTGACAGAAATGGTCAACATCAATTATAAGTATTGATGTAGGACAAAATCTTACAGGGTTTATTCTGGGAATGAACTAGATGTATTTGTCAGCATAGCTGTAACAAATACCTCTCAAATCCAATGTCTTGACCCAATAAAAGTTTAAGTGTTGTTCATGCTTAATGAAATGAGGATATTCTTGGCTGAGTGGCTTTGTTCCAGGCAGTGAATTAGGGGCCAAGTTGTTTCTATCTTGTGACTGTACCACCTTATAGTTTCAAGATTGCTAGCAGCAGACAGAGGCCAAAGAGAAGGATAGTCCCCATAGGAAACTCTTTCTGTCTCCTTTTCTGGGGTGTGGCTGATTAGGATTATAAACCATAACTCAGTTTCATGGCCCTTCTGAAGTCCTAGGGGGCTAAGAAATGTGGCCTTCCTTTATGGCTAAGAGGGAAATGATGTGTTTTCATAACCACGGAACATTGTTCTTTCTGCCCTGGAAAATGGGAAAAAGGCTGTCTATTTAAAATAAGCTATAGTTTAATGGAAATAATATTCACAGCTCTATGTCTACCCTAAAAAGACCTGTAAAAATTACAAAAGGCACGTGGCATTATTTTTCAACTGTGGAAATAGTTGCTTTGTACTCATCCAAGTGGACAGGATCGCTTAGCAGCAGTGATTCTATCAGCGTCACCACCACCAACCATCATCATCATTATCGCATCTTCATTGAAAGCTAATATGATGGATAGGTCACGACACCGGGTAATGGAGTTTTGAGGAGGTATAAAGGCCTTGAGGATCTTATAATCGAGTTGGGAGGTCAGAGTAACTACATCTATAAGGTAAATCATACTACAAGACTGCATGTGCTCAGTGCTAAATGAGTGGCAGTGATATTTTGGAGAAATGGGCCTCCTTGAGATAGATGTAATGGAAGCTAAGAAATACAGGTATAGAGCATTGTGGGCTGTAAAAACCACAAAGATCTTTAGGGATGTGGGCCACCTCCTTCATTTAATAGGTGAGAGTGGCAAGTCTTTAAAGATGCCCCGCTTTCGGATCTTATAGAATCCTAACCCCACTCTTATGTAAGATCCTCTCTCTCCTTGAGTCTGGGCTGGCCCACTGACCTGGTTTTGGCCCAGAGAATGTGGCAGATGTTACACTGAGCCAGCAGCAGGGCTAATTAAACCCGGCAGCTTCTGCTTTGGTTTTCTTAGAACACACACTCTGGGGGAAGCCTCCAACCACGCAAGAGACCCCAGGTGAAAATTTGGCAGTGAGTCTGGCCAACTCATGGGCTTCCCTGGTGGCTCAGATGGTAAAGAATCCACCTGCAATGCAGGAGATGTGGGTTAGATCCCTGGGCTGGGAAGATCCCCTGGAGAAGGGAAGGAATATCCACTCCAGTGTTCTTGCCTGATGAGAATTCCATGGACAGAGGAGACTGGTGGACTATCGTCAATGGGGTCACAAAGAGCTGGACACAAATGAGCGACTGACACTTTCACTTTCCAGCCAACTCACAGAATCATTGTTGCTTTGAGCCTCTAGGTTTTGGAGTGGTGAGTCACACTGCCATTGACAATCAGAACAGCGAAGAAACTGGGATCACAGAGGCTGAGTGAGCTCCCCAAGGGCAAGCACAGCATGGGACAGAGGCTGGAGGATAGTCATGTTCCTCGACTGATTCAGTCTAGTGGGTCTGAGACCAGGGCTTCACGAATGGTAGTTTGGGGAAGCTGCTGAGGCTTAGATTCCGGTGCTTCACCCTCAAGTGTTCTGATTCAGCAGGGCTGAGAGTTTGCGTTCTAATGAGCTCCCAGGTGACGTTGATGCTACTGATCAGGATGCCACGTTCAGTAGCCCTGCCATTGACCAGGCCAGAGCTGATCCCAGCACACGGCTGGCAAACAGCATCTGCTCCTTTCTCACAGAGCTGCTTCACAATTGTCTGCTTGCTGCATTTCCAGGTAAATAATTGAAAAGTGCAAAGTGACAGTCCCTGTTCAGGAAGGGCCCGATCACAGCTGAGCTGGATTTTAGCTTTTCCAGCTGTAGGTTGAAGAAGCCCATATGGTCCGTGAGAGGAGCCCCACTTCTCCACACTCTGCTTTCTCTCGCTATGACACCCACGTCTCATAACCTTGTTACCCGAAGCAATTAGGGGCATCATCCAGATTTTCAGATCCATTTCCCATGGAGACACATGTTAGGCATCTCCCACAGTGAATTTAATTAGCAGAAACTCAGTTCAGCCAGCGACCTGCAGTGCAGATAACAGTCATGGCTGCCCAGCAATCTCAGCTCTCTTTTCTTGAAAAATGACAAGTTTCCTAAAAGGTGGTGATGAGTCCCAGCCAGACGTCAGGTGGGGCTCTGTGCAGTCTGATTTCCTGTAACCAAGCAACTCACACATCCTGCTTCTATTCAATTTAAAGGACTCACCTAGACAGAGACGCCAGTGAAAGGGAATAATATATTTCAAATGATGGTGTTTCCTTAGTGGACCTGGGCCGAGGTTGGTGCACCTCTGCAGATGTTTTGGATGTGATACACTGATCATATTTACTTCTGGGCTTGTTAGTGGGGATTACCTAATGAGTATTTATATCCTACCTTAGTGATGCTACCACTGTGAATTTGCTTTAGCTATCTGCACAGAAAGTCAGAGGATTCTAATCTTTCCTCGTGTGTTGGAGATGAAAAGTGACCTTGTTAGGCACGAATGAAAGTGATGGGCAAACATTTGTCAGGCATCAGTGGGGGAATAAACCCCTCCTATGCAGAATATTCATGCTATTACAATACCTATTAGGTATGATGTGAGAAATTGATTGAATATGCTCCTTGTACTAGAATCCTATATGAGGATTAATGAATATATTAAGTACCAGATGGTGTAATCTGGCATTGACTAAAGTTACTGGTAAACTGAGAATTTTTAATGTCCCCAGTGTTTCTGGATTGGACTAATTGATTAATGATCAAAATTTAGCCAGGGCTTTTGCACTAATGGGGCCCTGTGACTTAGGGTGGGTGTTCATGGCATGTAATTCCATCATGCATTAGTTGCAGAGGGTTAGTTGTAGAAGGGGAGCTCTTGGCTTAGTTGGTGAGTGCCTCATTATCAATTGTGATACCAATTCACACTAGCATAAGCAGCCATAGTTGAAGATGTTCATCCATTTCTCTGCATCGTTTCCAAAGTGGAACAGTATTAAAATAAAAAAAACAAAAAAAAAACAACAAAAAAACAAACCTCGGTCCATCTCATACCTCTTAAAAATCACAACTATTTATTTTTATTTGCATTTATTTAATCACTGCTGAAATATTTTTTTTCCTTATGTTTATTGGGTACCCACTTCTTTCTCTCCCTTTCTGGTCTATTTATGAATATTAAGTATTTTTTTTAATCCATTGGTATTTTTGTCATTTTTCTCATTGATCAGAAAGATTTTATATATCAAGTTTATTGAGCCTTGAACCATGTCAATGAACATGGGCATGGAGGGAACTCAGGACTGTGCACAAACTGCGTGGCCAGATAAGTCAGTTGTGCAATGGGTGATGGGATGAAAAGGTGGGTTTCTGTGAACCCCAACTAGGGGTTCACCTACAGAGCCAGGGAAGAATATTTGTAAATGTGGGGCTAGCGGGCAGCTGTCTAAAGAAGCTGAAGTTTGGGGTAATGTATTACTTTAATTTACATGTACTGTACAGTCTGCACACATGAGACTTATTTGGAAGAGGTTTAATTTTACTAGCTGCTGAAAGCAGGAAGGTTGCTAGCAACAGCACAGAGAGCTAAGCGGTTTGTTAACGCCCAGGGGCCATGTTGTAACAGTGCAAAGCTGGGCTACCTGCTCTGTGGGGGAGACCATCCACAGGCTCTTCTCTGCCTTTGAGGGTTATTTGTTTTACCGCACCAATATGTTTTTTCTAATTAACATTTTCTGTAGTGTTCTGTTTTTGCCTTAGTTTGAAAGGCTTGTAAATACAGCCTTTGAAGGTGCTATGGAAGGACAAGGTATTGCCAAATTCATCCTGGTGGATTAAATGTGCTACATTCACTTCTTTTCCCCTGAAACCCAAGCATGCTGACCTTGTACGTCTTTTGAAATATGGCAGAACTGAACTGAAAACCTGGACTTTTTCAGGTGAGTGGATCCTCATTTTGAGTAGTCCCCAAAGAACTCTTAAAATAGCCAGAAAATCTAATTTTGCTGTATCACAACCTACCTAACATTGTCATATTTATTATGTTTGGAGTGATTTGAATGTTTAACCATTTTAATCAGTGGAAAAACTATATTTGGTTGAAAATTTAGTTTGTGACTACTGGGAAATTTGATTTATCTGTTTTAAGCAACCATCTGGAGTAAGTTTATTTGTACTACGTGTCATGCATATATTTATGCTGCAAGATCAAAATCCTTAAATTGCATCCTTTTGAAATTATATATATTATATAATGACAATTGCCAACACCACAATGAAGTGATTACATGGCTTTCAAAAATAGAAACATCATGCAACAAAAAGATTACAGTATATAATGAACAAGTTCATTTACTAGAATATAAGTGCGTGGTGAATAATGAGATGTACACACTATGAGCTGAGATGAATCTTCTATCATTAGAAATACAATTACAGTGTATTGAAATTTCCGAAGTCTAACAGAAGTAAATAGATATACTGTTATCCAGCTGAAAACAGAGCCAATTCATTTGTGAACATTTTCCTTAATAATGCCATAAATATATTGAATGCTTTATATTTAATAGAGACTGCCTGCCACCTGGGAAGCCCCTGCAAAATACTGAAATGTGTCTGTACATACGTGTGTTTTTTCAGCCAGAGGCAGTGTTCCTCTGGGGCTGCTCTGTGTACAATGTGAGGTCGTCCCAGGGAGCTTTCTGTGGCCTACTCTCACCCCTTCACTCCACACTCTCCATATCTTGCTGACAGCAACATAGCCTAGCCTGATGCCTCACATTTTCCCTATCAAAATAATTTCACAGGGAAAGGCCTGAGGAACACAGTCATACAAAAGGATGAGCTAATTGTAACTAATTCTTCATGCATATGGCATGGCAGACCCTTCCTGTCACTGGAGTCATGACAATTGGGTTGAAATTCCAAAATTGTCACTTTCCACTTGACCTTAAATTACTTAACCTCTTTTGAGTTTTCTTTTATGAAATAGGCTATCCATAATATTCTCATAAGGTTTTGGTGAGGGTTAAGTGGTATATTTCATATAATGCTATTAATAGAATGTGTTGCTCATGATGAGTTAATAATGTTACTTGCATCTACTATTAGTTCCTTTCTTTTGCTAATTGCAATGTGTTCTTTTTGGTAATTAGCTTCTCACATCTTATTTCCTGGTGTGTCAAATAGGATAGTTCAGCTACAAGTAACATTTAACACCCACCTAAAAGTAACTTGAACAATGTTTATTATCCCACATAGCAAAAAGCATAACAAAAGGGGGTTCAAGGGTTGGAACAGTGGCTCAGTGGTTTCATCAAGGATCTTTCTTTTTGCTTCCCACTTTCACCATATTAGACTGGTTCATTAGCTCTCTCTCTTCATGGTTGCAAGATGGCTGCTACTGTTCCAGGCATCACATGTAGCCATGACCATATCCAACAGAAAAAAATAGTGAAGAAAAATAGTGTTTCTTCCTTGCAGCTCTTTTTATTGAGGTGAAACAGTCTTCACTATTTCTAATCCCTCTCCCAGATGTTCTTCCATTGCATTATGTGGGAATTACCTTGCCCAAGGTCTTTGTAGGGGAGTTTGGGGGGTTATATTCTTTGCAGCTTAAGATGGAGAAGCTCAATACAGTCAGCAAAAACAAGACCAGGAGCTGACTGTGGCTCAGATCATGAACTCTTTATTACCAAATTCAGACTTAAATTGAAGAAAGTAGGGAAAAACCACTAGAACATTCAGGTATGACCTAAATCAAATCCCTTATGATTATAAAGTGGAAGTAACAGATAGATTCAAGGGATTACATCTGACAGAGTGCATAAGGAACTATGGACAAAGGTTCGTAACATCTTACAGGAGGCTGTGATCAAAACCATCCTCAAGAGAAAGAAATGCAAAAAGGCAAAATGGTTGTCTGAAGAGGTCTTACAAATAGCTGAGAAAAGAAGAGAAGTGAAAGGCAAAGGAGAAAAGGAAGATAAATCCATCTGAATGTAGTTTCAAAGAATAGCAAGGAGAGATAAGAAAGCCTTCCTCAGTGATCAATGCAAAGAAATAGAGGAAAACAATAGAATGGGAAAGACTAGAGATCTCTGTTGGTCCTTTAATGGACCGGAACCTGGTGGTCTGGAGTTGACTATGAGAAAGTGAAAGAAGGAAAGAGGCTAATATTCCCTGGGTTACGCAGCCGGCTTTCGCGTTCCAGGGAATCAGCCAGAAATAGAGAGATAAAGAGAAAGAGAGGAGAGAAAGAAAGAAAGAAAGACACAGGGACCAAAGCTCTGATGGAGCAAAGGTGTTTTAACCAACATGGCATGGGCATATATACTGTAGTTACTCTCAGCAAAGATAAAGATTAAAATTCCAGATTTACAAAACACAAGGTGATCCCTATTAAAGAGAGAAGAGCGTACTTATCACCATAATGAGAAACTAACACAGGAAATGCCTGGATTCCTCAGTCCCGGAAAAGGCGTGCCTCTCCTCTTAATTCCTGACTATTCAGGAATTAATAAGGGCCAAAGGTTTCCTGACAGATCCATAACAGCACATGGGAAGCCTCCTGTTAAATGCCTCCTGACAGATCTCTTCAAGAAAATTAGAGATACCAAGGGAACATTTCATGCAAAGATGGGTGCAATAAAGGACAGAAAAGGAATGGACCTAAAAGAAGCAGAAGATATTAAGAGGTGGCAAGAATACACAGAAGAACTATACAAAAATGATCTTCATGACCTAGATAACCACAATGATGTGATTACTCACCTAGAGCCAGACATCCTGGAATGCAAACTCAAGTGGGCCTTAGGAAGCATCACTACAAACAAAGCTAGTGGAGGTGGTGGAATTTCAGCTGAACTATTTCAAATCCTGAAAGATGATGCTCTGAAAGTGCTGTGTTCAATATGCCAGCAA